CTGAGCAAGGTGTTGGATGATCGCAGTGAATACTCTCCCAGTCCTTGTGACATACAGGGAGGAAAACCAAGGCCTAGGAGTGTCTGCTGAGGAAGATACAACCCAGGAGAAAGTCAAGCAGTAATTATTAATTCTCTACACAGGTTGTTCTGTAGCTGTGAAAAATGGGCCTCCTCTAGGTGACATAAAAGGTGAAGAATCTTCCTGTGTCTCATGAGCAGAGAAACATTTTCCTGGCAGCTGGAGCCAAAAACTACAGCCAAAATAGATTGCTCTGTGCTCAGCTCACCTACCATGAATAAGTACTTAATTCATACATCATCCAGTGCGGTATCTCTTTGAAGAATCAGGTGTTTTGGTGGCAAGCCCCACCAAGGTTAACACAGTCCCTGCAGTGCAACAGAACTGCCTTCACAACTGCAGATCTTACACCTTCTATCCTGGCTCCTCAAAGGAAATTTCACATCGTTATTTCCTTCACATTTTCCATGTTGTTATTTTACATCTTCTCTTTGGGAAGTCAGACACATCAGAATGAGCATCCATGGGATGGGGTGATGGGGGGACCTGGATCTTTCATCTGGGAGTCTTACAAACTGGTTGATTGTGGGAGCAATCATAGATTTGCTTTAAACAGCCCTAAGCATTTTTTTTTTCACCTACTACCTCTAAAAATATTTTTTGTAATTGAAAGACGTTTTATGTTTGTAACATGGTTTGATGAGACAAAACCCAGAACATCTGAGTGAAGAGAGCTCTAAAGAGGGCTCATCAGTAAATGAACACCATGGAACCACTTGATTGTCTAAAAGTAGCAATAAGATTAGATACTAAAAGCTAGTACATAAGTACCATGTGCCGGTCCCCTGTGGTAATACCTGCAGGAGGTGCAGGAGGCCACTGATGCTCCAGCTAGGTGTTTGCTGGGGATGATCTTAGAGGCCTGAATGGAAGAGGCTCACAGAAGGAGGCAGCTTGGCTTGCCACTGTGTACGTGCTATTTAACACAAGGGAAATAAACTGTTAACTCCCTGAAGTTTGGTAGGTTTCCTGCTGGTTTAGTTGTAAACCCCCCCCTTCCCTCTTTGTTTTCAAGCCTATTAACCAAGAAGCATAACAAGAGCCCAGAGAAGAAATTGTATTGATTTTTCTGCCCACCTCCACCGCTCAACACCATAAATTCAAAAGAGATCCTCAAGTGATAGAAACTTCTCTTAACTGTTGCTTGCTGGCTTCCTGAAGGGAATACAATCCTCCAAAATGCAAGTGCACTCACGATGCAGTTCATTACACCCTGACACAGCAGTTGAACCTTGGCAGCAAGAGAGAAACCTGCCTAGAAGGAGCAAGAACCAGGCTCTCACTCAGGTTCTTAATTTCAGTTCTTTAAGCAAAACACCCAGATCTTCTGCTTTAAAACAAAGGCCAAAATGTTTGCAATACTGAAACACCCCCCCCCAGTTCGTTCAAAGAAGGGGGCTCTGGAAAGAGTTTGAGTGAAATGGCCACGCTTCGCAGGTTTATGGCCCATTCTGTACATGCTTCTTGCTCAACATAATTTATCATTTCTCTTACATTTCATGCAAAACCAAAAAAATCTTATGATGCAGAAAACATTCAGAAACATGAAACAGTAACAGTCCAGCAAGTGGTCCATCTCTAAATACATAGCCTATTATAATTACATCCTGTAGTCTACCGATGCACTTTTACACTGAATACATCTTTCAGCTAGAAATAATTTTTGTCATCTCAGCAATTCAGTAACAATAGTACAGGCAGCAATAGAAGGTTATTATCACGTTTATTCTGGTTTTTTTAGGCACATTAAATCTTTATAAACAATTAAATCTTTATAAACAATTCTATGGCTGGAATTGTTTTTTTCCACTCTATAATAAGGACAGTAAAAATAGAACATGCTTTGTGCACCTGCAAATGTCTGGAAACCAACAGGTTTTTAAATTTTGAAAGTTATTTACTCTTGGACAATCTGACAATCCAACCTCACCACTTCTCACCATACATCATTTTTGACACGATATAGCCCTGTGTTTTCGAAGAGAGAGTAAATTATCCTAGAAACACTGTTCAGAATTCATGAGCATCTCTCAGATTCTAACTTTCACAGAATTATTCTGGCTGTGAAGACTCAAATGCTTCAATCCATCACCTGAAGATTTGGATGCATACAAACCAAGACCAGATACTTCAGCAACCAAAGAGAGGACTTGCTACAAATCTCAATCCCTACCAGCAGATTCTTATTCAAGGTATAAAACAGATGAACTTCTTGATATTCAAAAAGATGAAAATGTAAAGGAATGAAAATTCTAAAATTTCTTACCACTTAATTTCACAGTGTTCCACGCATTTTTAAAACGTCTTTCATCTACCTATGCATTAATAATTTTAACTAATATATTGTGTCATTGCAGGTCTATAAAGGTAAAGCTGATGCTGCTAAACCATGGTCTTCTGAGATGACTAGATCACAAGGCAAAAAGCATTTTAGTCACACCGTACTTCCTAAGCACGACCGGTTTTTATGTACCGTCACTGCGCCTTGCGTTTGCTGGAGCACCAAGGTGAAGCGGCAAGTCAGCAGATGCCCTCGCTATGCCCTGGGAAGGGAGGGAAGGAAAGGCTCCGGATGGCACCAGCTGGGCAGCAGGGAGTCTGAGCTGTCCCCTGGCCTGCAGTGACACCTGGCGGCACACAGGGAGAAGAGGGGAGGGCGAGCTCCCCCCGCGGGGGTCAGAGGGCCTCCAGGGCTCCTCTGCAGAGCCACTCAGAGACCGGGGCCAGTTGTAGGCTACAAGGGAACATTTCCAGCGAATGGTCTGTGAAATGCCACAAGACTGTTTCAGAAGGACAGTACTAGTTTCATCATTAATGTAGTCCTTTTTTTTTTTTTTTAATTTGTGTGGGCGCACAACAGATCTAACAAGGGCAGTGTCTGAATTCTGTCCCATCCTGGCAAGCCAGAAACACTTGAAGAATCATCTGATTCTAGAAAGGTAAAAGAGAGGGGGGGAGGAAGTACCTACTCTGTTCAGCCTATGTAATAACATAATTTCAATAAAATGATTTTTTTTCAGTTAAAAAAAATTGTCAGACTGAAAACTTGACACTGAAGAGCATGTGCAGAGAGGCCAGCTACTCCAACACCTGCAGCAGCCACTGCTGCAATAGCCCAAAAGCAATATACCATGTCAAAGACCTGGTGCACAGGTGTCTAAAATCACCACCCCAAACCCCACAATTCCAAAAAGGGGAAAACTGGACAAAGAATCCTCTGCAGGAGTCAGCTGGTGATCACATTCAGTACGCCTCTCCTTCCCAGTATGCCACAGCATTCTCCCAAGACCCCTGACAAAACAATTTTTAGTCAGTACTGACTAGTTCTTTGATGGTTCGGTACATTTTGGGGTAGTTTTTTGCCATCCCATTGACTTAACTAGAAGCTATTAATAGAAGTAAAAGAACCCATCAGCACCTACCCAGAAATGAGTGCTCTGGGGAAAAAGGACTAGAGAGCCACCTTCCTTGAGAGGCCTGTACCATGCTGAACCTTCCCTGTTTCACTTTCAGCTCTGTGGAATTAAAAACATTTCTTTTCCATTTCTGAGAGCTTAAAGTTCTCCTCAAAAAATTTATAAATGGACGTAGTCTTTGGCTTGAAGCACATTAGTCAATGTCACAGGAAAAATATTCATCGCAGGAAGCTTCCAGAACATGCCACCCGTCATCTTCCACCATTACCAAAAAAGGGAGCATTCATGAAGTACATTTCGCCCTCTTCAGACATTCTTGGGCCTATCCTGCCAGCTAGTGTACTGGGAAAACAAATGGCAATTATGTCCAGAAGAAAACAAGATGCAGGGGCTACACAACCCACACTATTATATACAAGGGATGTGAGATGACAAATTGAGCCCTGCACTTGATGTGCAAAGCAAGAGTTCCTTATCACCCCTTCACTTAACACCTACAAAGGGATGTATGACCACGTCCACTATTCATATGAGATAAAAGTTCTCACTTTGCTCTCGACTCTCGTTCACTAGTTTTTGATGAGAGGGCTGTTGCTGTCACACAAAAAGAAACTTGGTCAAGCTTTGACTCAACTATCTGAATAAAGTCACAGTCCTGAACAGAATACACCAGGTCCTGGAGTGAGCTCCCACAAAACACCATATCAGGCTTCTCAGAGCCATACTCAGTCTGAGCTTTGCTAAATTTCTGCTGCAGCACCACTTCAGCACATCTCTCTGCCAACAGCCACATATTCCCACATGGTACAGCAATGCAACTTCTCTTTTCCTTCACACAAAGAACTTCTGCTGTACTCTTCCACCAAAGGAAAGGAAGCTGAAGAATAACTATCCATTAACTTGATAACATGTTTCTTACTAAGAAACAGAATAAAGACAAAATAAAAGCTCTGTGTAGACAGCAACAGTTTTTAGTGAAAAATACACACTATATGTGACTTAAGTATCCTGTACCCCATCCTGCCTTCCGAGTTCAAGATACAAGTCAATTATATGAATTGTTTTCATACCTAATGGCTGCAAACTCGGCCTCTAAAAAGCCTCTGCTTTGGAGCTTTTGTCATGCTTTCAGAGCCACTGCCCTAAATGTGTGAAAATGTGGCCTTTTTCAAAGAGGTGTTAAATTTTAATCTCAAGAATATATCACAATTAGATAATTTCAGTTATTTAAATGATAACTTCAACTTTTTTATCAGGGTTAAGTGAGTTGCAAAAGCTGATTTATTTTTCTTTCCTCTTCAGTTTTTCTTGGACAACAGCAATTTAGGAATTATTTGCTTTTGCTGCCCATGTACAAGCAGCAAAGCCAATAATTACTTCTTTTACATAGGTTAGTATGCTTTGCAGTGTTCAAGAACAAACTAACTTTAACATGGATTTCAAAATGAAAACATTGAAAATATAAAGCAAGACAGAGAACAGGCCATAAAACAAGAAAGAAAATACTGCCAGATTAATTTATTAAGTTTATTTCTATTCCCTTGTAGCTCCCAGAAATGTTCAGTAACAAACTAGTTGTTTTAAAAGGCAAAGACAACATGACAAATATAACACTGAGTACATGACAAACCTCGTTAACTTGTGTATAAAACACATTTTAGAACATAGTGAATACATCTTCTCATTGTGTAATTACCTTTCACAATAATAGTTAAATTAATTTCACGTAGAACAAAGCAGAAAACTTTTGCACACCATCTCCTCCAGAATATTCAAATTAATACTTTTTATCATCTTATCCTGTTTGTATAAGGCGGCCTTCTAAGAGAAGCCAAGTGAGCTGTCTATGACCAGCATTTCAATTAAATCAGCTTTCACTCTCTTGTTTCAAGAGTCCTCTGTAGGGCATATTTCCACTTTAACCTAAAAGCTGAATGCTTCATTACTTAATGATTTTTAAAGGGTTTTTAGCACTCCCAGCATCTGATACATGCTGTATTCTTTCAGTTTAAAGCATAATGAATAATTGTAAGCAGAAACAGAATCTCCCACATCTCCATTCTTGGGAGGAGTAAACTGTACCAGAAGTCTATTTCCATCTACTGAAGTCCCTGGACAAATTAAAATCCTCATGATCTCCACAGCAGCTGCCAGTGAGGTTTAACATTACTGGAACAATAATGTGAACAGACATGGAAGTTGACAGGCATGTGGTTATCTCTTATCAGCTATCACAACTTGAGCAGGAATTCTGTGACCCACTATTAAACAACTTTTATACTCCTTTATTACATTTGCCATGTTCCTCTCCAGGGGTTGTCTCTTACACTGAAAATGAGTGTAACAGACAACTGGTTTCTAAATATGAGATGCTCATGTAGAAAAAATAAACCCAAAGCATTAGAAAACTTTAAGTAACATCTCTCTTATAGCATAAATAGTGGCAGGCATTAAATTCCAACTGCAAAAGAATTATATTCCTTCCCAAGATCCAAGATTTCTATAATTGCTTCTAAGCACCATTAAAAATACCAGCCAGGACATTACCCCCTTACTTTCTTACCCCAGAGCCTCACTATCCTTCTTAAAACAAATAAATCTATATTTTTTTCAGAGTAAGCCCTTCAAAAAAAAAAAAAAAAAAAAGACTACAGAAGTTTCTTTTCCTTTTTCCTTTCTAAATGGACAACAAAAGCCATGCTTGCGAAACATTTAGTATTTAAGATAATACCTATTTGATATTTCTTTTCAGATGTCAACTTCCGAAACACAGATTTCAAGTTGTTGTAGATTTAACAGTGTGGATTTTGTCACTGTCCCATTTCAAGACAGCCCTGGAAACCTCAATAAGCAGCACATATTTGTCTGCCAAAAATCACTTGTTTATAGCATTGTCTCTTGGCACATTCTGACTGGAATATTATAATGTCTGTCATCTTCAGTTATGAGAGTCACCACAGGCCAATCCTCCTCCGGGTCATTGGGATAAAGTGTGATGAATTCATCAGTGCTATATTTATAGAGCCGATACACTTGGATGGTATACTGCAGAGCATAAGCAAGAAGAAACATTTCCACCTACATTGCAAAAAAAAAAATATATGTGTAAAATTAAACATACTTTTTACAAGATTTTTGTCATAAAACTACAAAAGTAATACCTATCAGATGTAATTTTTCAAAGAAAAAATTATGAAGTGAGAATGCATATACATGAACATCTCTACTTCAGTATCTCAATCATATATCTCTATGATAACATGCACTTAACATGAAGCTCTTCAGACCCACAGTGGCATAGTAGGATATTAATCCTAAAGAAAGCTACTTTACACAGAGAATCCAAACTTCCCTTCCACCACAAACAAGCAGGAAAGACATTCTCTTGTATCAGTATTCATCCTGTTAATTCACTAAACCAGGGAAGAGCAGGTTTCAAGCAATGATCATTTCACTCTTAGAGGATACTCTGAACTCTCCAGCCAAATAAAAAGTAAATGAAAAGCCCTTACAACCTGTTGACAGGAGAAGGAATTCAGAGAAAGAAGCTGAAAAAAATCTTCTATCTTGTCTACTACAGTGGCAAGCATACCCTGTTCTAAATAACAATTTACAAAGAATATTGCTGAAATAAATCTAATCAGCACAAAAATAGGTGCTATAACTTCTTGAATAAACTGAGCAGCAAAAAAGTCACCAATGAATCACTTAATTTAAGAGTAGCAGCAAAGTGTCTCATCTATACTATAGTTGTCAGATTTTTAAGACAATAAACAGAAACAAAACATAATACTTCCATGCTTCTACTGTCTATAATTAAGTAGTGAATTTAAGTGCAGTATCCCACTTGCAAAGTATTCAATGGGATTTTTTTAAAATGGATGTTTCTAAAATCTTTCAGACTATTCAGCTTATTAACTTTGGTTTGGGGTTTTTTTCATGATATGTGTACCATTTATGCCACGTATAACACTAATTGTCATTAGCTTATCAGAATTCACCACATATATGTGCTACATGTGATCTTCTCTTCTTAATTTGAGTATCAGCTTTTATTATGATATTTTTTAAAAAGCCAACAGTTAAGAGATTCATACAAGTGTTCTATTAACAGAAACCCCTATTTCCAAAGAATGGTGTCTGTCACCTGCCAGACAAAATCCAGCATTTAAAAGGAGGGTCTTTACCAACCCTCACTACAAGCAAGTAGTTCTAATATACTGTCAACAAAAGCTGGGTGATTTCTTAAACCACTTGAAACTAAAATGTTCAAAACAGGAAAATAACACTGAGAACAATCTCTCCTTACTTGTTCAAGGCCTCCAGTGTGACCAATATGATTCAAGTGATTATGCATTAGCTGACAAGGGTTGCTAGATGTATCCCGTGCAAACAGTAACCAGGAGAAGACAGGCACTCTCCTTCCATTTTTATCATCGTTGTATAATTCAATTGCAGTATTAAGCATCAAAAACTTCAGTGCTTCATAGAGACTGTATTCCTCCTCTTCATTTTTAAACAATTTATCACAAGCTTCTTGTTTTTCAATGGGATCCTTGATTTCACTTATATTCTTCCACTAAAAAAAACAAACCATCACACAACAAATTAATAGCCATCGCCGTGCAAGAGCTGCAAAAAGCACTTGTGATTTGTCAGATGCTCAATACAGGCACTCAGAATTTAATTTACAAAGGGCTTTGTGCCTTTTTAGAAACAAACAAGAATATTTCCAAAATTGTAGCCTTATCAAGGTCAGGCTCAGTTAGTCTGATTTTGTTTTAATTGGTCCTTAAGCAAAGTAAAAGGAGGGTATGCTAGAAATTGTTGCAAGATGGCTGAAAAAATACTGTCATGGGACAATAAGCAGTAAGAGAATAGCCTTTTTGTTTCTGTACCATAAATCGTACATAATTAATATTCTTTAAATTTCTGTTTCTCAGAGTACGTATTTCAGTCCAGCCCTCAAACTGTTTGAATGCAGCCTTTAAAATACTCTTAAAAACCTTCATAAAAAGAGAATATGCATCCACAGTAAGACAGGAACAGCTGGAGTTTTTTCAATAGGTTCCAGAGTTCCTACAGGGAGAAGGCATGGGGTTAGGTAATACAGAATCAACACTGAAAGGGCACAACCATGTTCCTGTGACGCTAACCTAGAATGAAAGCGTATAAAAATGGAACAAAACCTACTCCTTTGATATTATTTCAGTTTTGTTCTGTATTTTTCTTTCCTTGACCTGTTCTAGATAGCAAGAGGATTTATCCATAGTACATATCATTCCTTCAGATAAATACAAGAAATAATAGAGGTAAAAAGTTATACTCTGATACATTGATTTATTCATTGAAACCTGCCTAGCAGTTTTCTGCAGAGCTGCTTGCACATTATTTCCAACATTGGGCTATCGTAAGCACTGAAAGATCACACATCTCTCACATATCTGAACAGACATTCTTTACTTGACTTTTTTGCAGTATACATACAGAAAAGTGGCTTTCACTCCTGAAAACATCCTTATGCTAAATTCACCACATTCAAAAATCTTTGACTTTTTTTTATTTGTAAATGACCAAGAATAAAAAAATACTTTTCCAACCTTTTTCCTTAGAAGTATTAAATATTCTTTAATTTCATCACTTATTTCTCCCATCCTCTTGCCCAGTTTCTGTTTTAGCTGCCACTGCTTGATCCAGTCATACTTGTTCAGCAAGTTTTCAGGAAGCTGGAAGTTGAGGGAAGAAAAGGGAGCTTAAGTCAAAAGTCGGGAAAGCCACTAACTTGCATATTTTACTTTTTTTCTAACATTTTGCACCTTAAAACAATCCCTCATATGTTCTTTTGAACAGATGTCACAGTAAGATGATCATAACCGAACACAACTGTCTCTTTATATTTTTTGGGTAACAGTCAGAATATTGGTCTATTACTATTTACAGATCAACAAAACACCTAAGCACTGGAAAAATTAATCACCAAGTTACTTGTGCCTTTTTTTTTTTTTATTAAAACAGCCTCCCACCAGGAGATAGATGACAGCAACTGTGTTTCAAAGTGTCCCTAAACCAGCAGATGAGAAGACCACGTCCACCACATAATCCAGAAGTCTTGGTGGACTGCAAACTACTTTGTCCAGGACACACAAATTACATTTCCTTTTCAGAGAGCATAATTCAAGCACTCTATGATAGGTTTTTTATTAAAGAAGAAAACAACCTGGGAATTAGTTGATGCATCAGATCATATTTTAGCCTCAGAACTACCTCTTTTACTGCTCATGAGCTACACCTGTTAAGAGCTTTTACATTTCTCTTTAAGGACATCCTAGCAATTGCACATCCAGTTTTTTATCCTCATCTATTAACCCCTTTTACCACTAGAACTGGAAGACCACCTTGCATCTCACAATGAATTAAATACTTGGCTAGAGCAACACACATGCCATCAGCCATTACCAGCCAGTTTTCATTTTATCAGGATTCCAAATCAGTAATATGTTCTCTTTAATGGCAACCAAATATGTGTCAGATACACACAGATCTTCCCTCTCCAGCCTGGAGTCCTATGCTAACAGGACACATAGAACTAAGTAATCAAAAATTACGTGCCAGTAACTTCTAACTAGAAATGTGCGTGTAAACACCATTTAAAATTAAAAACAACAAAACACCAAAAACCTGACAAATTTGTACTACCAGCTATATGCTGGCAATACTGTACCTGTCACTACACGCATTTCTCCTACATGCCTTCTGCTTTGATGCACAGTACTTTACCATTTCAGTCAGTTGGGTTTGTAGTTGTGCCTTTTTTAAAAAAATGTTAATTATCATATGACACATTTTCCTCTATGAACCAGCAGGAAGAAAAAAAGATGAATATCATTAAAAACTGTAAAATACGCCATTTTTAAAAAAAGTTTGTGCACTCTTTAAGAAAGCACTGGGAAACTATGTTCTTTAACGTGATAATGTGGAAATGGTTGTCAGCTGAGAAATGTGGTTTTTTATAAAAAAGAAACCATTTTGCAATGTACTTACTGCTACAGTAAAACGTTCATAGAACTATTTTTATCAGTAATTACAAAAACATATCAGGAGATGTTTAATTAACAATAATAGAGACCACAATGAGAAATTTTAAAATGGCCTCTAAAGTTATACAGAAAAATAGCAAGAGCAGTGTCATTCTACCTGGACTGCTACACACAGAGTCTGCATCAGGCATTCACCATTTACACTCCCAGCAGCATCCTGACAAGTGGAACCTTACTCTTCTGAGGTGGATCACTCTTGTGTAGGCAGCTTCTCACATGTTTCTTCCATGTTCACCAATACCACCAAATGGACTTTGTTGACACAAGACAAATTCTGCAATATTCTTCTTCTGCTCTTAGGAAGACACCTTTCTTTGCTTGCACATCAGTGCTCCATAAGAACTGTTCTTCATGTCAGGGTGGAGTTGCTCTTAAGCTTATTTTAAGTCACATTTAAGACACAGGTAATTACACGCACTCTGAAAAGCCTACAGCATCCAATTTGCTATTCCACTTCCTAGAAAAACCATGTATGGAACATATGATAATTTTGAAAAGCTGGGGATTTCTCAAATGTTAGAATAATTGTCTATATTTTTTGTTATTACCAGCTATCTTATGGAAAATCTCTTACTGCCATATTACATGCAGTAAGAAGAAACCAAGAGAGCAAGATGAAGACAGACAAGTTACATTACAGTCAGCACTACAGTAACATTTATATACTTTATAAATTGGAAACTAAGGGCAGCTGGACTCAATTCCAAGGTGAAAGAATCACTGTGCACAAACAATATTGAACACTACCACTTCTCTGTTCAAAGGATATTGAAAAGTGAGCATATATAGCATAACAGAGAAACGAGATCATAAAATTACCAAATAGGTTAGAACAAATATTCCTCTACTGGAAGAAGATAAGAGTTTGAGACATACCATAGTCAAATCCTCACTCTGCAGCCAGTCTGGTAACTGGGTAGCTTGGCTTAATGCCTGGAAAAGAGTTGCTCTAAAAGCACAATAGTTGTCACCTCGTATTCTTCGTATAGATGCAAACTTCTGAGCAACTGCTTCATATCCCTAAAAAGCACAAAACCCAAATAATGTGAAAGCATTAATAAAACACTTTAAGGTCACACATTGTAGCGTAAAAAATATTGGAATATTAGCATCCAAATAACTAATGCTATTTTCAAAAAAAACAAAAAACAAAACATTTGACCCACTACCCATTTTTGAAGTTCAAATGCTTTTACGTCACAAATTATGCTTCGGAAAAAAACCCACTTCCCTAGTTCTGCTGAAAAACAAACAAGAAACCAAAGAAATCTAAGTAGATAATTGGTTGAGATATTTGTTTGATGACAGAATATGAACATCATTGAAATATGAGTAGCTAACTCATCTAGATTTCAAAAAAACCCAAACATATAAACACACACACAAGGCTACCTATGATGTTTACAAGAAGTATCAGAAATAGTTAATGCTACTTACCCAATACATGTCACATGTAGCTTGCTTCTGCCTCAGGGAACATTTGTGTTTACACTGAAATATCCTGACACTTGCCTCAGCCCATTTGTTCCCTCCCTGCTGTTCCCATACACACAGTTTTAGCAGAAGCCACAATGTTGAAATGAAACTTCCAAAGCTCAACATGTCTCCCCAGCTAACCTAGCGAGAGCCAATACCCTGTGTTGTCTGTATTTCTCAGTAATCTCTTGAAGGTGGCATCTTTTTATGTATTTATTTTTTATGCTTACTCATACATATAACTAAATTTTCAAACAACAACAAAACAACTTTGCTTTATTTTCTACTATTCTAGCTCAAGATTAATATAAGAACACTAGTTCAAATACTGGAAAAAAAAAATTCAGGAAAAATTTAAGAAAACCCATGACTACTCATTAAAGCTCCCCACCTTAAAAATCATGCAATTCATCAACTTTGGTTATTTGCTTTCTGTCCAAAAATTTGGTAATTTGCTCTGCATTTCAACAGTCCACAAAATTAGCATTTCATGACATTAAACAAAATATAAAACTTCAATTGAAAACAGTAAAGAAGAACAGTATTAATCAAATCCCTACACTACCAGCAAGTAGCCTTACTAAAAACACATTTGAAATGAGTACAAAAAGCATCTTCCAGTTATCAGCCACTTCTAAGACCTGACAATGTAAACCACTGCTACTGCATTTCCTGTCTTAAAGATTGATCCCATAGGAAATCACCTACCAAACATAAAAATGAAAAAAAAGTCTAATGAAATTCAACAAAAACAGAACTGCTACCTTTCTCATCCTTTTTGCTACTGGTGTGTTTCCTCTCCATTCTTTTCTGCAATACTCCATGATATCCATTTCAGGTGAAACACTTAGTTTATATTCTGTCAAAATAGAATATGTAACATTATACAAAAAACAGAACAAGGTAGAAACTGTGTCAAATTTCTAAATACACTATCACTTTAAAATAACCTTAGTGCCAAACAAAACTGGCAGAACAACCTACAGCTACTAATTATTAGCATGGGAGGGGAAAAAACCAGCTTGTTCTGAAAATTACACGTGAAGAAAAACAATTTTTTTGCCTCCAACAAAACAGAACACTCTGGTCCTCTCTTCTGCAAATACTGTAGAAATTAGCAAAGTACTCTTCATTTTCTTAGCAAGCAGAAAAATATTTCACAAAACTTTCTCTCTTCAGAAAGCAGCCAAACTATCAGGGAGAAAGATGTCAGATCGTTCTGAATAAGTCAGTGACAACAGTAGAAAGAAGAAATACAGTTTTGTCTTGGAATCCCAACAGCTTTCATTCTAAAACAGATAGCACTAAGGTTAACAAGGCATCCCTGCAACAGATGCTGCTATGATAACAATTGAACCGGTAATTTTCAAGCACAACATTTACTTTAATATAGGCTGAGACTGCTTTTCAAAGGATTAACATTCTCTTGTCAAGTAACTACATAAACACAGGAATAATACACTAAAAGAGCAACTAATTTTACATTAAATCGATCTTTTTGTGTATTAAACTGTACGATGTACTCAGTCATGATAAGTAACTTCTATTGCACACAGACATCTGTGCACAGAAGTCCTTGGAAATGAGGGTGTCAAAACATCACAAATTAGTGCTACAGTGAATTGTAGCACTTCACACAAAGTTCAATTGTACCTGAAGAGTTTGCCTCACGAAGTAGTATTTTCTCTCTCTCTATTTCTTCTGCATCACGATACATGTCCTCCTCACTGCAATAAAAATTAACACATACCTCATGTAACAGCACAAATCTTACACTCTTTTTCAACCTTTTTACAACTCAGGCAAGTACTGCAGTCTTACTACAATTATTTTTTAACTCAATTTGCTTTCCATCTTACACATTTTCATAGAACCAACATTAGCTCCCAAATGAATTTGCAAAAGACATAAGCCAGCATGCCTTTTTTGCATATATGAGTAACACCACCCAGGCATGCAACTAAGAACCCATTACTCAACAGAGCTTTGTATCTACGCACCACTGGGACTGAGCAACCCGCCCAGTAGTGAGCAGAACATGAGAGAATATGATGAAAAGTAACAAACTATCTTGCAGCTGGTTTGAATGTTACTAAGTCAAAGAAGTTCTAACATGATCCAAACTGCAGCATACAGGCTAGCTGAAATCCAGACAAACATTTGAAGGTACGTTGTCTTAAGAGTCAAATATCTCCATTTGAGCCTACAGACATTCTAAAGCCAAGTTATGACCATAAGGGAGGAAATGGTGGCCTACAAGACTATTGTTTCTATGTATAGCTTAGCATTAACACAAAGAGATCTCACAGCTTGGATGTGAATGTTACTGAGAAAAAATGAGGCCCATGCAATGTTCAAAAAACTGACTGTAAACTGCACATTCAAAACCATGAATCTTTAAACATGATTCTAAGTGTCATTTATCATATAATTACATCTAGCAAATAAACTTTCAAAAAATAATCAGTCTCGCACCTAAAATACTTCAAAAAAACATACACCAAACTTATTAGTATCATTTAGGTTTATCACTAAAAAAACCTTACACTTAAAGTCTGTATTTTGAAGAAAGTACATGTGCAGAAAAAGCTATCAGGTTTTTATTTATTGCCCACCACTATTAGTAGCTTCTACTCTAGTACTCAAAAACCCCCAATACAGTGTGCTTGTAAAAGATCAGGAAGAAATTAAGGCAGTGACCCTGCCCCATCACCTTACACCACTAAGAGAGGAAGACTGCAAGAATGGGTTTAATGTAGAAAGCTGGTAATTAGATTACTTCCATTAAACTTGAAAGGATACACTACTAAATGATGGCATTGTATTTCTGTTTCTTTATATCCAAACCACCTTACTCAAATCATTTGCATGGGAGATCATTTGCATATATTTCCCATGAGAAGAAAAAAACCACTTAGTATAAAGACCAATATAGGTTAATAGCAGGAAACTCATCTACTATGCTGTCATATCAAACCACTGTTTAGTTTTTATTCAAGTGCTCTAGTAACTGCTTGAAATCTCTTCTGTAACAATACTAAATAATTATTAATTAAAAGAGAAACAATAGATATAGGAGATACTAAACACACTACTCCACAGTTATTCCATTAGATGGAGAAAGAAGTCACTAATAAACTACAAAAATAAACAAAAATTTATCTAAAGGGTGAAGGTGGCCTTCAAACTTTAAGATATGACATTTAGACCTATCTCACTAAACCATTAACTAATTTTCCCAAGAAATTTACCTTCATGAACTGAGAGTACCCCTCCCTTTCTACAGAAAAACTGTTAATATATTAAAAAAAAAATCCTCACCTTTCCTCAGGTGACTCCACTGCTGAACAGTTGCTAGATGCAGGTAGATACAGTTCACAGTTTCTAGCTTCATCCTGATCTGTCACAAGTGATTTAATCATTTCTGTCTTCTCAGGTCTCCCACTACTTCTGTATACATAGTCTTTACTTATTTCTGATGTATTTTGCTCTTTCTGGTCTGTAGCCGCATTTGCTGAACCAAGTTCCTCAGAAGCAACACCAACTTCCTTTTTATGCTTCATCAGCTGTGTGGGAACACTCTGCTCTGCAGCTGCAGAAAGGCTGGTTGGTTCCGTCATCCACCCTTGAAAATTATCCTGTCTTTGAAGAATGGAGAAATATATGAAGAGCAGCTCTCACAGAAGAACAAAAGCACATGTTTTAAGAAAACTACAATATTTTAATAGTAATTCTAAGGAGTAATTCTAAGGATTCAGAGCCTACACAAATTTTTCAAAACCAACAACTAAATTCAGAACGGTTCAGTAAAATAGGACAGCTCCCAAGCTATTTTCAAACTCATCCTACTGGCAAGTCAATTCTGCTTATTACCAAGGCTAAGCTGTGCCAGCTTCTCAAACACAACCTGCACTAGAATTAGTACACTGACTGAACACCTGCTGCTCTCAAGGTGCATTATCATCTAAAAACCTGAGGATTAAAAGAAATCCCAATGAAACAAGTTTCAGTCCTGCAAGAAAAGGATTTTTACAAATGCACCTGGTGCAATGTGAAACTTCCATTGCATCAGGATTATGCTTAGTGCAAAAGTTTCCAATCTTTATGCCTTCCAACATGATGCCCAAGGTATCAAGACAGGATTTCTACGACCCATTCTAGCAAGCTCTCCATTCTGCTACCTCAGCTGGTCACCTTCGAACTCAGAATCTTAATATCCACTCTGTACACCTTAAAACTGAACAACATATTTCCATCTCCAGGTTAAAGCCGCCCATCTGCAACAAACCTTTGTTGCAACATCTGTAAACAACAGATGTTACTGCCCTTTGGCACGCAAGCCCTGCTGTGTACCAAGCAGTCCCATAGCACAGCTCAGGACTAGAGTTCATGGAACAACAGAATGGCCTGGGTTGGAAGGGACTTTAAATATCACCTAGTTGCAAACCCCCTTCTGTGGGCAGGGACACCTTCCACTAGACCAAGTTGCTCAGAGCTCCTTCCAATCTGGCCTTGAACACTTCCAAGGATGGGGCATCTACCGCTTCTCTGGACAACGCCTTTTAGTGCCTCACCTCCCCTCTTTCAGTTTGAAATCACTCCCCCTTGGCCTGTCACTACATGCCTTAAAAAGTCTCTCTCCATCTTTTTTGTAGGCTCCCTTCAGCTACTGGAAGGTCGCAATTAGATCACCCCAAACTCTCCTCCAGGCTGAACAAACCCAATTCTCTTAGTCTTTCCTTATAGAAGAGGTGCTCCAACCCTCTAATCAACTTGTTGGCTCTCCTCTGGACTCGCTCCAACAAGTCCACGTCCTTCCTGCGCTGGGGACCCCACAGCTGGATGCAGCAGAGCAGAAAGGGGCAGCATCACCGCAGCTCGACCCGCTGGCCACGCTGCTTTACACGCAGAGTCGCACCCCGCGTTCCGACTTTTCCCATCCCTGCTCCTCAGGGAAGGACGACCCAGGCTTAGCGCAGCACACGGTTACCTGTGCCCGCGCCCGCACAGCCGATGGGGAGGCCTCACCTTTCCGCCGCGCTCTGTCCCGCCCGGCACCGCTCGGGCCCGACGTGGGAGCGCAGCGCTCCGCCCGCCGCCGCCCGGCCCGCCCGCCGCCGCTGGCCGCTCATGCCGGAGGGGCCCCAGGCAGGGCCTGGCAGCGCCAGCCCTGGCCCCCAGCCACCCAGCGAGCGCCCGCCCGGCTCCTGAGCGGCTTCGCAGGCGCTTCCGGGGCGCCGGCCGCCGGCATCCTGAGCTCGCGTCATCCCGCCGGAAAGGGCGGCCGCACCAGCCCACTGCTCCCCCCTGCCGGCTCCGCCGTGCAGCGGCGGTGAGCCGCGGGTGCCGAGCTCCAGCGCGGTGCGCAGGGGCGGCGGCAGAGGGAAGGTTATTGCTCCTCGGGCTGCCAGGGGAGTGCACACGCACCGACCTGAACTCGCGTGAAATCATATCATGTATCATATCATCATATCATCATGGCTGGGCTTCGCGAACGAAGATTTGGGAGGGGCTCTACCCACGTTTGTTGCAGGCGCGTTGGTGGCTAAAAAGGCCAATACGAGATAGGCGTGACCGGTTGCAAAAGGCACACCAGAAAGACTCCTTAGATGGTATATTCTGCAAGGCACGATTCTTTCTGCGTTGTCTTTTCTCCTCGAGAGTGATCCTGCGTGTGTTCTCAAAAGCATCAGCAGTGTTATAGATGGTCTGTCTCCAGACCTCCCGGCTGGAGGCCAGAGTAGACCAGTTATGTTGATCAATATGGCCAAGCTGAGATGTTGTTTCAGGGAGTCCTTGTATCTCCTCTTTGGGGCTCCTCTCTTGCGGCAGCTGGTGGCAAGTTCACCATAGAGCAGGATCTTAGGGAGGCGGTGGTCCTTCATCCTTGAGACGTGCCCTGCCCAACGCATGTTCTGAGCAACATGGCCTCAATACTTGTGACTGCTGCTCATTCTAGAACCTGTGTGAAATAAAAGGAGTTAAAGGACAACCCCCAAGGTTGAAGGCAATAAATACAAGAGGGCAGAAATGAGTTGCCTTCCGTCTGTCAGATGCTCCGTAGGAAATTACTAGCCAGGAAGCCCAGGTGCTGTTAAGAATGCAGGTGCATGTGGCAGCCATCGTAGGGGACTTGTCAGAGGCTGGAAGTCTCGCGTCTGGGACCAAAAAATGCATCACCAAGTTCTCATACGCCTTTTGTTAAACTCCAGGCAGAAAAGAAACCTACACAGAGAGTATATAAACCTTTCAAAATTACCTGTCACTCAAACATGCCCGATAGTACCAAAAGAAAAAAAAAAAAAGAATACTCAGAACAGTAAAAAGTCGGAAAGCTGTGCTGTGGTAGAAAAAGTCCACTGCACTTTGAGCGTTTTGGAGGATCCTCCTTCCGGCCCTTTTTGTGAATTGACATGACATTTGCCAACTTCCAGTCATCTGGGACCTCCCCCAGTGAGCCAGGACTCTTGACAGATGATGGAGAGAGGCTTGGCGAGCTCTTCCGCCAGCTCCCTCATCACCCTTGGGTGGATCCCATCTGGTCCCATAGACTTGTGGGGATCCAAGCAGCTCAGTAGGTCACTAACTGTTTCCTTCTGGATTACAGGTTCTTGTCTCTTTCTACAAGCTCCAGAAGCCAGTTGTCCTCAGGACAACCTGTCTTACTGTTGAAAACTGAGACAAAGAAGGTGTTAAATACCTCAGCCTTTTCCTCATCTTTGATAACTATATTCCCGCCCATGTCCAGTAAAGAATGGAGGTTTTCCTTGCCCCTCCTTTTGCTACTGATGTATCTGTAGAAGGACTTTTTGTTATCCTTCACAGAGGTGGTGAGATTCAGTTCAAGTTGTGCCTTCGTCCCTCTAATATTCTTTCTACAAGACCTAATTATATTCCTAAATTCTACCAGAGTAGTCAGCCCTTTTTTCCATAATCGGTAGGCTCTCTTCTTTACCCTAATTTCTTTCAAAATCTCCCTGTTCAGCCAGACCAGTTGTCTTCCCCGCCGGCTCGCCTTTCAGCACACTGGGACAGCCTGCTCCTGTGCTTTCAAAACTTGCTTCTTGAAGTACGTTGATCCCTCCCAGACCCCTTTGTTTTCAAGAGATGTTTCCCAGGGTACACTCTGAACATGAGTATCATGAATGTTTGAAGAAAAGAAAAAAACCCATTACTTAGGGTATTTTTTTAATCACTGCTCTTTTTTTTTATCAAATTTGTGTTGGATTGCTTTTGACAATATCTCCTTTAGAACAACTGTCTGACAGGTTTGTCTCAAAATGCATTCTTGTTTCACGTTGGTCGTTTCAGAATTACTCGTGCTCAAACAGCTAGTCCACTTGAAATATACCCCAAACTATCTCCTGTATTCCCATCATTTAAATAATTTAGATTGTGTAGCATTTAAGAATCATTACAGTTGCCTCCTTTTTAAGATTCTGTACTTCGTTTGTTAGTTACCCGCTTTTGCTATTCTCTCAGCAACTTCATGAGAGAGATGTTTTGGCTGACCATTTCACAACCCCTCAGAAGAGTACAGAGCAGAAAAATTCCATAGGTGAAATAGCAACCTAGACCTATTTCATCATGATGGGCAAAATAGCGTGTTATAAAATGACACTGAAAAATAGATAAACTCTACCCAGTTATGAAATTAAATTTGTAAATTCTATGCAGGCTCTATTTGGCAGTAACAGAAAGTTCCTGAACAGCAAATTGTATTTCATTTCTCGAGAATTATGAGATGAAAACCATGGTATGGTGCCATATTTCAGGCTGCATTACAGTAGTGTGAGCCATGCCATGTGAGCTTGCCAGAATGGGTGCAGTCTCTGTCATCTGGTATTTAGCTGCTTACAGACAGGGCTTATGTCAATCACATGATTAAATGTTTTTTTCTCTTCACCACAAAAAGACCAAAACTAAATACCCAAAGGAGAGATTTTCCTGATAAAACTTTGTGTTTGCATTACTTGAAATAAGGTTTCTCTCTGCCTCCTGTAAACAATACGTTGCAAGCATATGTGACACTTATTTTCTTAGCAAGGGGTATTTTTATGTTTAGTGTTGATGTGTATATTCCAGATATATAGTATCTGGAAATAATTGATAAGTTCCATGACGCATTTCACAAGATCAAGTGTGGCAAAAGAGTTGTGTATTAGTCATTGCCTTCCAGGTTGCAGAAATTCCAAGAAGAGTTTTACGTTGCAAATAAAAACGCAGTGTCTTAAGGACAGAAGGCAGTAGCTGTCAATTAACATGCAACAATGCTAGCTAATTTAATATTAAAGAAAAAAGAAACAAGGATAACAAAAGTTCAGTAAGAATGTATACAAATACGTCTAGAATAATGCAGTGTAAATAAAGAAAAATGTCTTTTTTTTTTTTTACAAGTACTACCAAGTTGAAAAGACAAAGGGACTTGAGCATAGCGTCTTGAAGTTTGCTTTCTAAAGACTGTGAAAGTGATGAGCTCTTCATTTTTTTTAAGATGATCTATTTTTAAACAAATAGACCCCTCAAAACAAAGAGACCCCTTTGTGATTTGTATACTCAATTCCATATTGAAATAGGTATGTGTAATTTAAAAAAAAGTCTCATTTGCTCAAATTATGTAACATTTCTGAGCAACAGGTTAACATAAACTATTAAGTGCACTCAATAATCAACAGCCATTCAGTGTTTACTTTTTTTTTTCACACTACTGCTACAGATATTTTGCATGGATGATGGAAGAATAAAATGTTAGTCATATGTACTTCATTTAGAGCCATACAAGATCACTGATATCCAGTAATAAATGCTGTATTTTCCAACAGAGGCCAGTTGCCCTTTTCAAAGTCTTCAGGGCAGAGGTAGCATCTTGCTTTTCAGTATTGGTAAATAATATAGGTGTGTGAACAAATTACAAAAATACTGAAAGAAGAATGTATATAGGATTCTGTTGAATTACTGCAGTCAGTTTGAAAGAAAAATATTGACATATTCATAGAAAAGTTACTGTGTATGAAGATCAAGCAAGGTAGATGTATCTATACAGAAAAAAAAAGGGAACAGCTGTTTGCTGTTGTGGAAGATATTAAAATAGTCATGTTACTCTTTAAGACTATTTTTTGAGAATGTGGCTTAAGCAGAATTTAGACATGTAAACCCAAGATCTTTGTTTTACTTCCAAAACACTTAAAACTTGTATTTTCAAACTTCCATCTGCAAAGGAGGCAGACAACTAAGTATCACTAAAGTCTACAGTAAAAACCGAAAGTCATGCCAGTTGTCCTGTATGTGACCTATTAATAGATCAGACTATTTCACTTAGAATTCTAGTTCTCCTATTGTCATAATTTCCAGTGGGAAGCCTGGGTAGCTCCTATACCAATGGAAGAAGTGAGATTCAGCCTCCTAGCTGAAAATAAAATTGATATTTCAGTTCTCAACCCTGAGGTACCAAAGTCAGTGTCACAATCAAGTGAACGTGAGTGAAGAAAATCAGCAAGCACTACTTCCAGAGTAATGCAGTTCTGTGTTATAACTCATAGTTTTCCAAGAATGCATCTCTGGCTTACTGATTCCACCAGAATGAGTTCATCAGAGTTTACTTATTACTGTAAGTTCTTCATATCCTTTGATAAGTGTAAGGTACAACTATTGCACTTTGCCAGTACAAATAAGAGTATATATCCCAATAAAGATTATTAAAAAAAATAACACAAAAAAACACAACAAAAATGTATTAGTATATACCAAAACTGAAGAAAATATTGCAGCTTAATATACTTTTGCCCAAACTGCTTAGAATTCCTTAAATATTTTTTCCCCAGGCTGACATAGTGAAAGTATTACAAAGCACTCAGAGAAGCAGCAGCACCACACGGTATTTTGGGTTTCTGACTTTCTCAACTCAGGAGAGTTAAGGACCTTTGCAAAGCAAAACCTTTTTACCTGGAAGACTCTGACAGCCCTACAGACGTACAGAGTCATAAAATGCATCAGTGTTCATTGCTTACAGCTTTGTATAGGAAACTAAACCTTGATTCCTGGCTGATATACACATTATTCTCTTCCAAAAGACTTTACTCTTTTTTATTGTTACTGTTTATAAGGAGGAGGCG